AAGTACAAATATAAGTAAGAATATGAAAACCATAAAATCTTTCTCTTTACATTAGAGTACGAGTCTAGCAAGTTCTTTCCTGGGAAATATATGCAAACAAAATCTTCAAATTCCATTGGACGTCATGATAAGTTTAATACGTCTTGCACATTTGCACCTAACAAAGCATACCTTAAAAGGGTAAGAAAAACAGTAATCGTTAAATGTTAAGAAAACAAAAAGTATTCAAGCTCGAAAAAACCCATTTTTTTTTTATTTAAAAGTGTATTTTTGCTGCAATAATAATGATTATTAATCCCAAGAGAAATATGACTTATATTTATTTTGCTCTGTACAAAACATCAAAAAGGTATATATCATATTGTATTGTTATATCACTGTTTCACACATTCACACATTGTGCATTTAATGAGTTAATCAGTATGCACAACTGATCATTTGATTTCAATACGCTTTCCATCTTACTCAGTTAAATGGAGAATTGCTTTTAGATTCTTTAAGAAAACCAAGATTTTACCAAAATTTTACCAAAATCAACAGCTTAAAAACTTACGACTTTTCAACTTTATACACAACCATTCCCCACGATAAATTAAAGTCCAGGCTTTATAATATCATTTATAATATCATTGACAGCTGCTTTTTCAATAAAAATGGAACTCGTAAATTTACGCGGGTATGTTAAGGAAGCGTACAAATTATTTCTCGGGAAATTTAGACTTTTTAAGGAAAATTAAGTTTGATAATTTATCAAAGTCGCCGATAAAACGCCAAGAAGTGCACCACCACGACGACATCAGGTTTATAGCAAAATATTCCTTAATAAAAAGTTAAAAGAACAACACTACCCCGGGGTTTCATAAGTTCTTTGAGTAAGTAATAGAGTTTGGAAAACATCTCTTATGCATAAAAAGTACTGCTAGAATCCCACTGTCCTGTCGGGAAAATAATTATTCTATATATTCGTACGAAACTTTACCCGATGTTTTGCATTATATACATATAACCCGAGATATTTCTTCAAACTATGTTTACCTCAGGATTCTAGCAGCACTTTCCAAGAATTATAGAACGCAAGTTTTCGATATGTACAAATCTTATGTTTTGAAGTATCCATCTTAGTGTTGTTCTTTTGCATTATTGTTGTCACGAATGACGGTGCAAAGGCCGAACGGGATACGTAAATAGCTGACTGTATTCAATAGAAGATATATTCGATGAAAATAAATTAGCATATCTGTTTAACAATCTTTAACTTCACAGGAATCACACACGATATTCATGCTATTTGCTTCTAAACCCCCCATTTACTCTTTACATCCAGTCTTGGCCAAATTCTCGTTACACAACATTATCAATTCTCAAGTTACTTGTTGAAATGTTATGACGTCATCGGTGGGGAGAGTTTACTTCAAGTGACAGATACAGCATAATAAAATAAAAAAATATATTTTTGTTAATATTTGCAACTTTCTATTCATTTTTAGGAGTTAAATTATATCTCTAAATAACAATATTAAGAAAACTTGTGTTCTATAATTGACGTCATCTCGCCTACTACATGTATGACGTCATATTGTATCACTGATTTAGTCAAGATTATCTTAGTACTTCCTTAAGGAGGGATTCTTGTCTGGTTTCTGACTAGATGAAATATTCAAAGTATATTTGCTTATATGTTTTATATATTTAGATGTAAGAGAATTAAAAGATCATACTTTTCTTTCCTCATCACAATTGTACAACTGTAAATAGGAATGGTAGACTGAGTTTGAAATCTAGCAGGGACTATATTTTTGGCGGAATGGCGGTGTATGAAAATATCTTCTTTTCTGCCCCTCAAAATAATTATAGAACAATGAATTTTGTTATAATTTTTACACGATCAAAGACTTGGAGAAAATTCTTAAATGTAAGTTGAATTAATGATAAGGGACTAAAGTTTTAAAATATATAAAATAAATATGATTTTCCAAACAAACTACAATTATGTTAGCTTTTAAAAGCTTCTAATCTAAGTTCACATTTAAGCCAAAAATTCGTAAAAAGTGTTTTTTTCTCTCTTAGTAAACGGTCAAAACTTTTTGTTTTTATATCATTTTGTATCTTTATGTGACAACTTTACCATATGTGAAAATAAGAAAAATTTAAATATAGGAAGCATATAAAAGTGACTAAAATATCTTAAAATTCTAAGAAAAGTAGAGAAAATTCGGATTAGCCAATATCCATTTTAGTTTTATTATTTATGTCAATTTGGTAATATCATCTTATAGAACCATAATGGTAATATCACTTTATGCAAGAAGAAAAACATTTTATTTATTGAATTAGAAGTAGGCATCGCATGATTGGCAACAGTATTTTTTATTCTTAATGTCCAGTGAAAAGGTACTGACCTTGACCTGACCTTGCCTCTAATATAAAATGGACAAATTTAATCCCACTGATACCATCACTTAGTGATATTGTTTTCTTGATTCTATAAAAAAATCATTGATTTTTAAATATAAGAAATAAGTGTTCTTATGAGAAGAATCCCTCCTTAACACAACTGCGTACCTACCTTGTCATTGGTCATTTGAAAAATAATTTTGTTAAAAAATATTCTGATTGTACACACAAGTAATCTAAGATTGACATTGAAAAGATACTTGAGATTCTGATTGACAATATCTATGTGGTTTTTGGAGACCAGGTCTTCCAATAATCTATTGGAATTCCCATGGGTACCAATATCGCCCCGTTATTAGCAGACCTTTTTTAGTATTCATTAGAAGCAGAATTTGTCCAAACTCTTACACGTGAAAAGAAGAAAACACTTGCTGTGGCCTTCAACTCGACATTTAGATATATCGACGACGTATTGTCAATTAACAATGATTATTTCCATTCTTATGCCGATACGATATATCCAAGTGAGTTTGAGATAAAAGATACTACAGAGTCTGACACATCTGTTATATATTTGGATATTTTACTTGAAAAAGACGTTAATGGTAATCTAACAACCAAGCTTTTTGATAAACGTGATGACTTTAACTTTTCAATCGTTAACTTCCCTTACTTATGCAGCAATTAACCTTTATCACCTAGACACGGGGTTTATATCTCTCAGTTGATCCGATACGCAAGAGCATGCTCTGTGTATGTACAATTTCTAAAACGAGGTAAATTATTGACAAACAAGTTGTTGAAACAGGAATATCAGCAGTATCGTTTAAAATCATCATTTCGTAAGTTCTATGGTCGATACAATGACCTTGTCAGCAAAAACAATTTATCAATTGAGTCAAATCCTGACTGACGTTTTTCATACTTATTGTTAGGCCATTATTTACACACTGAATTGTGGACGGATTTTTCCGTTATTCCTGATCATCACAAGACGCACACGGCGGATGTTACTGGTCGGCAGGGAATGCTAACTCCTCCATGGCACCTGATCCCACCTCTGATGTTTTGGAGGTCCGTGTTTGCCCTGCACCTATTTTGTAATGTTTAATGGACTTTTGCGCTTGAATACTGTTCGTTATCTCCACATATTTCACAACAACCATCGTAACATCATTCTGCGTCGGAATACCACTAGACCGCACACTGCACGCTATTGTTACTATCTACAGCAGCAAATCTTTAATGTGCTACACGGACATGCAAAATCACCAGATTTATCTCCTACAGACCATGTTTGGAATGAAATGGAATGGCGTCTTTGTAAACAGCAAATATCCTACGTTAGAGACATTATATCGTTCTTGTGCATATGGCGGAACATTACCCAGGAAGTTCTGCATAAGCTGATTTGTTCAATGCATCGTAGGTTTGAAGACTGCATCAGTGCAAAGGGCGATCTTACACGCTATTAAACTTGTTAAACTTTTTTGCAGCCCCTTAATTGCAGTTGTTATTCGTATCAAACGTAATGGACATAATCCGTAATTTGATGATTGAATTGTAAGACAATGTATTATAAGATAAGATATTCTTTATCCCCCCCCCCCCCGTATTAATGGAGAGTTTGTACAATCAAATAATTATCTCGTGTGATAGCACAATACAAAAGAGGAAACAAATTTATAAGTATCCATTTTTCTAGTAGAACATTATAGGTTTTGACAATATATGGCAAAGAGGCCTTCGTTTTTATATATTGTTGATGCAACTATTATCATAATACGCTTCCATTTTGTAAAAGATTTTTTTTTCTAAACATGTTTTTGGGAGGCTAGTCAACGATTCCATTCAGGTAGATTATATCCCCCTCCTCATAATGCACCTCGGCTCCCTTTTAAAAGAAAATTAATCTTACATACGTGCCTGACATTAACTTTGTTACTTCACACTTGAATAGGATTTATAAATTCAAATTAATACAAATGTTTATTGTGATTGAACCGCTTTTCTCTCATTATGTTTGGCTAGGACATCAGCAAATGTAAACAAATAAGACGGCAGGGATTGCTTACTGAGTTTCTATTATTTAATTTTTGAATCATATAATAAGATATTTAATGATGGTTTTAATATGGACATTACGATGATTTTACCTCCTTTGAATTATAATAATTACACCCGGCGCAGCGGATACTGTACTCCTCAGATGTCTAAATAAAAACAACAATAATTGTACGAAGTAATGTAGATACTTAAGATTGCAAATACGAATAGAAGATGTCTTTGTTTTCTGCAATGAAATTTGAGAAAATGTAGTAGATAAGATCTTGAGAACATTCATTATTTTTATTTTTAAAAATAGGATAAAAGTTTCAAATATAAACAACAATAAAATTAAGATCAGTACAATCTTTCAAAAACTTAACAATTCAATCAATAACACAAATGATACTATCACGTGATGCCTCATCAATCATAATGAACAGACCTTAGCAATATGTATATATGATACAGGAGTGTAGAAAACTCAAACAGTTCATTATTCTGGTAGCACTCGTCGACAATGAAATCTGACCACTAAATCGTTGCAGAAAACTGTTGAAATGGAATTAGCGGCGAGTCCTAAGGTGATCAGTGTGTACCTCATTGGACAAACCCTAACTCTTTTACAGACATGCTACTCTCAGTGCTTCGACCCAAAGACTTTAATCATTAGCAATTATGAAAACCCCTCAGTACCTGGTTTTAACCTTTTGAACAATGCTGGAATAAGAATGTGCATGATGGTTTGTAACAAATTTGAGTTGTGTCGCTCAGTGGATTGGATACGCGAAAAAAAGATATGCCGGATAAACACAAGATTTGCCACAAAAAATGTCAGTGGATTAATGACCGAAGGTCGCACCATTCATGTTGACCGAGAAAATTTTCCGAAGGTAAGCAATGTATGGGACATTAAGAAACAAATATTGAAGTAGTCAGATTAGAAGCATTTCGATCAAATAAACAAGTTTTCACTCTAAGCTGAATGACTTTCAGCACCTGGCTGCCGATTGTCCCAAGCATGCCTGTACCGAGGATGCCATTTGTCTTCGGGGCAACTGTATGCCTGTTTTAAAAGGTAACACATAAGATTCTTAACACATTTCTATAGGAGATGATTATAAAACTGCACTTTGGGTAGGATCCAAATCAAAGTTTATTGGAATTCAATTAGCGTAAACGGCTCCACGTCAAACCTAAGACGTTTAACATAGGTAGTGCTATTCCTTCGCCAAGCACCCATCACCAGAAGTGAAAGTCAGGGGTCCTTGGAATAAACCTTAAAATCCAAGGTTCCCTGTCACATAAGGCGTTGGTACGATAGAGTTCCTTCACTGCTTCGGCATTAATCACCATACATAGGTCAAAATTTGTGGCACTTCACCTAAAGCGGGTGCCATCTCTATATGAGTGAAACGTTCTCGAAAGGGACGTTGAACAAATTCAATCAATTAATTTTACGATGTTTTGTTTAATACAAATCTCTTGTGCTAATAAGGGTAACTGGACATTAGTATCTTCCCGATTAGATTTTTTTTGGCATTTAGAAAGAATAGGGGATGTTGTCAAACTATGTAGTAAAAACTTTTTGATTTGAGAGTATCAAAATCGTCTAATAATCATATTTTTGAATGCAGTGACTGATTATTTTACCTGCATGTTTCTATAAGCATGCTTATAACTTAAAGAATTAAGACATTCAAATTTAAAATCAATAAAAATGGAAAATAAAATAATTTGGAAAGAATTTATCCTGTTTCCTTCTTATACGAAACATCTTATATAGGAATAGTTCTTGTGTTGATGAAACACACAAACACAGGCACCTGATGTTAGTTATTTTAACTGTATCTCTACCTAAAATTTACAAAAAATAAAATTCAAAATATGCGTTCTTCAAGAATTTGTAAAATCGAACAGAAATGATTGAAATATATTTACATTCTTCAAAGTAATTGAGATAAATTAATTACATTTGTAAAAATCAATTGTACAGTCATGTAATTTTAATTGCAAATAATTAACAAAATTAATAATATATTTCAAAGTATTTAATTACATATTATTAACCACATACAAAGTAATTGATCCCAACCTTCCCTAACAAAAAATACTATACTTAACTATAGTTTACTATAGGTAACTACAGTATCAAAGTAAAAACTTTGGAACTTTGATTTACACATTGAATTGTCGACGGATTTTTCCGTTATTTCCCGATCATGACACGGCTGGTGTGACCGGTCGGCAGGGGATGCTCACTCCTCCATGGCACCTGATCCCACCTCTGATGTTTGGAGGTCCGTGTTTGCTCTGCTCCTATTTTGTATTGATTAATGGACTTTTGAGCTTGAATACTGTTCGTTATCTCCATATATTTCATTACTATGGTTTAAACTTTGGAAATTTTTATTTACTATAGTGAAAACTTTGGAACTTTGATTTACTATAGTAAAATCTTTGGAACTTTGATTTACTATAGTAAAAACTTTGGAACTTTGATTTACTATACTGAAAACTTTGGAACTTTGATTTACTATAGTAAAAACTTTGGAACTTAGATTTACCATAGTTTAACCCGTAGAATTATGTTTTTGATTCCCATTCTTGACATTCTTTGATATTCTATGGTAAAAATTCATAAAAGCTTCAGAGAACTTTTTTATAAACCCGACCCCTCCACTAACAAATTTAATGTACAAGAAATGAATTTTAATGTAAGGTTGTCTCATTTATTTCAATGTATTTAATTTAATACAGATGTAGTTTTTTTTTATGGAGAAAGGAAAATAATATACTATGAAATAAAATTTGCGTCATTTATAACCAAAATACTGAAAATACATTTGAATTAACTAACTTGTAAATTTAAACTACCATGTACAACAACCCCAAGCCCCTATCCAATCCCACCTCCAACCCCTGACAAAAAATTCAAAATATGCAAAAAATTATTTAAAAAATTTAATGAGTTGATAAACTATTGTAAAAACTTAGAAACTATCAACTATAGTAAAAACTTTGGAACTTTGATTTACTAGAGTAAAAACTTTGGAACTTTGATTTACTACAGTGAAAACTTTGGAACTTTGTTTAAGTATAGTAAAAACTTTGGAACTTTAATTTACTATTGTAAAAACTTTAGAACTTTGATTTAATATAGTGTAAGCTTTGGAACTTTGATTTACAATAGTTAAAACTTTGGAACTTTGATTTACAATAGTGAGAACTTTGGAACTTTGATTTACTATAGTGAAAACTTTGGAACTTTGATTAACTATAGTTTTCAATAGTATTTTTGTTAGGGTTCTTACTAACTGTTATTATTTTTCTGCTACTAGTTTCCTTGTTAAATACTAGTCTTAATGCGATAAAAGTGTCTTTAACGAAACATAACTCTTAAGCCGGTCTGTAAAGAAATATATGGAGATAACAAACAGTATTCAGGCTCAAAATCCCATTAAACAATATAAAATAGGAGCAGAGCAAACATGGACCTCCAAAACATCAGTGGGATCAGATGCCATGGAGGAGAGAGCATTCCCTGCCGACCAATCGCATCCGCCGTGTGCTTCTTGTCATGGTCGGGAAATAACGGGAAAATACGCGACAATTCAGTGTGTAAATAATTGACAATTAGTATGAAAAACGTCAGTCTGCATTTGACTCAATGATAAATTGTATTTGCTGACAAGGTCATTGTATTGATCATAAAACGTACGAAATGATGACTTTAAACTAAACTGCTGATATTCTTGTTTCATCAACTTGTTTGTCAATAATTTACCTCGTTTTAGAAATTGTACTTACGTAGAGCATGCTCTTGCGTATCGAATCAACTGAGAGACTTATACGCCGTATGCAGGTGATGAAGGTATATTGCTGCATAAGTAAGGGAAGTTGACGATTGAAAAGTTAAAGTCATCACGTTTATCATAAAGCTTGGTTGTTAGATTACCATTAACGTCTTTTTCAAGTAAAATATCCAGATATGAAACAGATGTGTCAGCGTTAGGTATCAAAGTTGATTTTCCTTCGTAGGAAAATCTTAGAAAAAAGATTTAGAGATAAGATGATAATTTGCTTGTTTGTTTTAAGGAATGCAAGCTTTTGTTTACATAATACATGTTTTCACATTTACCATTTCACATCATATGTAATCTATCAAATTAATCAAGATAAGTCAGTAAAGAAGATATTAAAAATTTACTTCGTCAGGTATACAGTGAAAATGCATTAAGCTCTAACATTTAAACAAATACTATGAAATACTTTGTTTATACAGGAATTTTGGTTAAACAATGCAGAAATATACATATTGTATTTTTCTGCAATCATTACCGAATGCAATCTTTTTCCTGTACAAACAAAAAAAGGGTTAACATTTTCTGGTTAATATTTATATCGGTATTAATTATTTATATAAATAGATGAAAGTGCCTAACAATGGATATCAGTGTGTCTATCACCTTGATACAAGAACATTGAAAAAAAATTACTAAAGCGTTGAAAAAAAAACTTCCTTCAACAGTTGCTTTGAAATATATTATGCATAAATCATATACTTTAAAATCCGAATATTATTTCTAAACAACAATTGGTTTTCAAAAGATATAAAGGAGCTGAAAAATTAATACCTGAAATTAAACATTCGCTCCATTTTCTCTATAACCCTTAACATGACCAACCACTGCATTCCGTTTAATCCAATCGGTATTATTCCATACACATTTTAACACTGGTTGATGTATATGTATTTGTACCACGTAAAGACTCACCAAGACTTTCCAAAATAATTGATATCTTCATAGATTTTGTCAATGTCAATGAATTTATAACCTAAAATTCTCCAGATAATGTTAATTTTCTTTTTAACCAAAATTGTTAATCATGATAGACTTCCAAGTAATTCTTATTTAACATTTTAATTTACTATGACTGATGGCTAGATATTTTACTCTCCAGACTGCAACTTCTTAACCTTCGGTTTCTGAAAAAGTATTTTAAAGGGTCTAAAAAGAAAATATTTCGGTTAAAAGGGCTTTCGTTTATAAATAAACAAACACTAAATAAAACCTATCAATCTCCATTGAATTATATGTTTGAAAACATGTGAAACGAATAGCAAGTTTAATGAAAATAATTATTCATTTATTTTTTTTTTTTACATTTTTTACATTGAATAGAAAAAATATATAAAGATTGTTCAGATATTGTGAAAAGAAACCCAAGCAAGAAAGGACAAAATGGAGTGTATGTTATTTACCCTGACATTCTGAGAGAAGTCTTCTGTGACATGACGACTGATGGAGGAGGGTGGACGGTGAGTAGTGTTTAAGTTTTTGAAAGATTAACGAATACGCAAAAAAAATCCTTTTATTATCTATTTAAACTTTAACTGTAGAAAATCTAAGACAGGTACAGATGATATAGCTTATCATGAAAACAAGTTTAACAAAACTTTATCATGATGACATTATGGCTGCGTAACGTGAAGCTGTCCCGCATTATAAGAACCTGAAAAAGGGATGACAATCGAAACAATGCCATAAATCTTGACCATAACATTTACCAAACATCAAGGCACGAACACTAACATAACATAACAAAGAACAGAAGAATTTAAATGTGGAATTAACTGTACTCACAAGCAGAGTCAAAACAAAGAAACTACCCACACAACTTTGAATTGGATTTGGTTTCTAAACCCTTTTACACATTGACAATTATAGATTTTCAAATAATTCTATATTATTCAGTTTTGTTTCATACCGCTGCTATATCACCAAATAGTAACACTGATATATATTCTAGCTTGAAACTTTACATAAAATTGAGAAGAATGTAAAATAGTGGTCGGTGTTTATTTTTACATGAAACAATATAATAAAATATCTAGCGTTGTTTACAGGTTATTCAGAAACGACAGGATGGTGACGTCGATTTTTACAGGACATGGATAGAGTATAAAAACGGATTTGGGAATGCCACTAAAAATTATTGGATAGGTATGGTTTTATATATATATATATATATATATATATATATATATATATATATATATATATATATATATATATATATATATATATATATATATATATATATATATATATATATATATATATATAGGGAATGAAGCAATCTACGCCTTAACAAAGGATAAAAACCAAGAACTCCGTGTTGATCTCCACAGACATAATGGAGAACAGGCCTATGCTTTATATACCACATTTTACCTCGGAGACGAAAACAATAAATATACCCTTACAGTATCTGGATATAACGGAACAGCGGGTGAGTAGTGTAATCCCCCAATTTATTGAGCCTTATTTTCCTCCTGCATAATGAACGACAAAATGTACAGTCAAGCACCAGCACATATTGTCGTCAGCGACAATATGTGCAGTCAAGGTCGACACATATTGTCGTCGATATATTGTTTTGACGAATATTTACTTGAGAAAGGAGAGATTGACAAACACACACACACGCACGGAGAGAGACAGTCAGCATTATTCGGAATACTATAGGGAGAAAACATTTTGGTCAGAAAACTGTGTCCAGGATTAATTTAGATCACTGTGATATGTCAAGATACCGTACTTCTTGAGATATCTGATAAATCAGCCTATTCTTTTTTCTTGAAATACATACTTGGAGATTGAATACATGTACTAGTTTTTTGTTCAGTAGTAATGATTTTTTGGAAATTATTTTTGGTTTTATTCCTATATACAATCATGTGCCGATATATTTGGCGTTGGGGTTGACATTTTTAGATCACCTGAACTGGAAGTTCAAGTGAGCTTTTCTGATCACATTTTGTCTGACCGTCCTTCTGTCTGTAAACTTTTCACAATTTCATGTTCTTCTCAAGAACTACTCGGTCAATTTCAACTAAACTTGCCACAAAGAATCAGTGGATAAAGAGGATTCAAGTTTGTTAAAATGAAAGGCCATGCCCTCTTTCAAGGAAGTAGTTAGGAATTAGTGAGAATTAAGTGACATCTTTTAAAAATCTTCTCAAGCACCACTGTGTCAGAAAAGACGAAACTTACATGAAAGCTTCATTATGAAGTGTAGATTCAGTTTTATTCAGATCATGTCCCTCCGGGGAAGGGAGTGGCTTCAATCGGTGATCAAAGATTTTCATTGAATATTTACAAAAAATCTTTCATTTTTTTTCAAAAAGTGCTGAGTTACAAGAGAGGATACATATGTGAAAGCTTCGTTACATAGCGTACGATCAACTTTGGTGTGCTGGCACGAAAAAGACCCCTCACTGCTCAATGACCCTGAGTGCCAAGTATAGGTATAAATTTGAGGCCCTCCAGCGGCAAGTGGAGACGTCTACATACGAACGAACAATTATCGAAATGGACATTATAACAACAAACAAACAAAAACAAAATCAATTTTGTTCATATCATGATCACAGGGATAGGGTGTGGCTACAATGAGCGATCAAAGTTTTACATAGGAAGATATATAGAAAATCCTTAAAAATATTCTTAAAAGCCAGATAGATGTAGCACCGGCGCAGATTTCAAGTATCTTCAAATCAAACCGGGTCTAGGGTTGGGCGATCAAAGTTATACATAGGAATATATGCGAAATTTCTGTAAAAAAAAAATCTTCTAAAAACAGCAGAGCAATTATAGTCATATTTATATGGATTGATTGTAGGTACACATTGTCGCCGGCGACAATATGAACAGGACGATAAGTTGTACCGTCACAATCACTTTGCATGAAATAGCATACGAGACACGTTAGTATGATTCACACACCAATTGCATTCACAAAACTACTAAAAAAAGCAACAACAAAAGAAATCTTTAAGCAGCAATTTCTGTGGGACGACAATATTTGCATGTGTTACTTTTCAGCTGGTGTAAAGACAAATAATGACCCCCATAGAATTATGACCTGGGGTCATTTTTCAACGACAATGATGACCCCCCCCCCTCCAGCCGTAGAAAAAATTATATTTTTGTAGAAAAAGAGCCCTAGGGGTGATATTTTCATATGTGCCTCTTATAAAAAATTGACCCCCGCTGAAAAATGACCCCTTTTCCAATAGAATGATACAAATTTATAGAAGGTGATTGATGCCAAGGTTTGAACCTCAATGTTCAATTCTTCTTTATGCCCTTTTTGACCAACACGGGACGAGCGCGCAATTAAAATGCAATAAAACAGCATTACATTTACATGCATAGTTCTATCTTTCAAGCCTATTTTCTTCTCAGCACAAATTGCAAATCGCAAAATGGCTATTATTGGTTATAACTCTTAACGTAATCTTCCGATATGACGGTCTTCCATTTGTTTCATATCTGGATATCTGACCGGTCATAGACATTCATAGCTAAATAACAGACAAGGGGGTGTTCTGGCTTTTTAATGGTAAACATCCCAAAGTATTTAGCATGCTTTGAGTACGGTCAACTTTTTTTTTTAAAAAGTTAAGAGAAAGATGAATGAGTTTTCGGAAATAAATATGGAAAGTTATGCAATGTAATATATATTTTTTGAATGACATAAGAAGTCGTATAAATGAGGTAGATTGTATTGCAAATGACAATATCTCGTGCGAATGACATACTGTGGATATATTTCCTAATAGAAAAAAAAGGTAAAGATCACGAACAATGATTATTTTGAAGTATCCACAATCAGTACAGATCTGTTAACAGGGCATAAAAAAGGACCCCCCGAAAATTGCAGAAGTGGGTTCAGGTACCTAGAAAGAGTAAGCATCCCCTGTTGACCCGTCACACCGTCGTGAGCCCTATGAAGAAATCAGGTAAACGGGACATTCCGTTGTCGAATTTAGTATAAAAACAAAGGCAAAACAGTTGACTAAATTATAGGTTTGCTTATATTTGTTGACAGGGTCATTGATACGACCATTGAATTTACGAAATGCTGACTTTAAACGAGGTTTTGAAACCCCTGTTACATCAACTTACATGTATCTGCCAGTAGCCTGCCTCGATTCAAAAATTAATCGTTCTCTTGGGTATCGAATAAGTTGGTAGACATAAACTTCATATGCAAATGATAGCGGAATATTACTAAATAAACAAGCATTCTGAGAGTATTGCATAAGCAATACTAGTCCCCTAACGGCAAGTGTAATCTGGTTCCCGTTAAAAATTGAAAACATCATAATTCAGTCAAAAATCAATGAAGTGGAACAATATGGAAACTTGATCTATAACTCATCAAGGTAAAGTTACATGCCAAAAATCAGCTCAATATCTGCAAGCGTTTAGGAAAAAATTGCAGAAAACCCTGAAAAATTGAAAAGGCCGTAATTCCGTCAAAAATTATTGAAGCGGAACGAAATGCAAACTTGATCTGTAGCTCATCAAGATACACCCACATATCAAAAACCAGCTCAATATCTGCAAGCGTTTAGAAAAAAAAGTGCGGAAAACTAAGTGGGACAGACTGACAGACAGACAGAAGGACTAATAAGGAAAGCTGACAATGGAAATAGCTAAAATCATCCCGATTGTCGGACAATTTAGTTGCTAGTTGGTCTTTATCGTCTATAGTCAGTAGAACGTCCAAATATGAAGCAGACGTGGCAAACATAAGAAGAACATAAAATTTCTGCATGTCTGAAATATATACAATAATATAATGTGCATTCAATTTTATTTATAAATAGAGGTCTGTAGGAATTTCAAATATATAGAAGTAATAAAGAAGAATCCCAGTATAATGTACATTAAAGTCTGTTAACATGGTCGTCTGAGAATGGGATACATGCATGTAAGAGGAATATATATTTTTTTAAATCCACTTTAAAACAGTGATACATTTGTCAAATCAATATGGAAACATTTCAATACAGTGTATATTGAAGTAGATTGATGTTTTTAATTCATCATTAATTTACCTTCGAGGTGAAGATAAGTATTCTTTTTTCTACATTGAACTAAAAATAGATTGAAAACAATTCTGAAAAGTTACTTCACCTGCATCCGAATTCAACTCAAGTGAACATAATATTCAGGCACATAGATTAGGAGAAGGGGAGAAATTGTCCCCCTTCCCAATTTTTTCTGAGTGTAAATTTTAGCAATTTCTAGTTTGAAAATGTTCATTGAAAGTCCTGTAACACCCCCTCTTTTTTATACTGTATATAGTTAAAAAATTCTCCTACTTGAGTGGACAAGGTGAACATAACATTCAGGCGCATAGAATCAGGGCTAGGATAGGGAGTCCTCTCCCTTCCATTTTCATGAACGTAAATTTTTATTTTCCTCTTGAAAATGTTCATTGCAAGTCTAGTTGACCTACCCCCCCCCCCCCAACTTTTTGATAAAATAGAATAAAAGGAAATCCCTCTTACATCAATAAACTTTTTGAGGGGTTCATCAAAGATATTTTTAAGGTAACGTCATTTTTGCCTTTTATAATGCCCCATTTCTCCTTCCGATGCTATGCCTGACATTTATTTTTTCTACATTGCACCAAAAATAGATTTCAAATGCAAAATTAATACTGGTTATGCTTATGTTAACTCCGATTCTCTCACTGTGTTTGTCTAGGACTTGAGCAAATGTAAGCAAGAAACTTGACATGTCTGCTTAATCATTCTGTATCAATTTAATCGTTGAATCCTATAATAAATCAATTATATATTGCTGTTTTTCTTTTTTCTGTCAGTACGATGATTTTCCACCAACAATGTTCACTTCGCCCTTTCAGCTCGATAAATCATTCTGAATCATTGCATTGACCTTAAAAACAGCAATAATTGTATAATGTTGCAAAAAACAGAGCAGAGGAATCTCATGGATGGAGAAAATAAATTATATTGAGGGAAGTTGAAGACGATGGTATAATTGTATAATGTAATGAGTTCAACATATCATCAATTTATTCCCACTTTAGCTCAGGTGCGCATTATGGCCAACAGGTCTCTTGATTTTTTTTTTTTTTTTTTTTTTTGGCATCTTAAAATTTCAACTTCAATCCACAAGGGGTCATTATTCTACGGCGGTCATTTTTCTTCACGTGGAGTATGCTGATTTTTTCTACGGGCAAAACGGTCATTTTTCGACGTCGAATAATGACCGGGGGTCAATTTTCGCCGTTGAATAATGACCGGGGGTCTTTATTCGATGGCGAAAAATGACCCCCGGTCATCATTCTATGGGGGTCATTGTTCGTCTTGACACCGGCGACAATATGTACCGATTGACGACAATATGTGCAGTTAGGGAAGTTACATATTGTCGCCGACGACAATATGTAGAAAGCGACAATACAAGTATGTACCGTCACAAGCCTTCTGTTTGCTTGCCAAATGTCCCTGGCTACTGAACCATGAGCTCAAATCTTTTATTTTCAATAACTTTAAGATTCCAATGGACATATGGTACTACGATATGTTTAATCAAAATTTGATTTTAAAAAATCTTCAAATATTGTCTAAAAATCTTGATAAACACCCTGACGTTTTAAAAGCTCGAATTTAAAAGTACGAGCTTGCAATAGTTAACACTTGATTTCATATGTATTTTTCATATAAAATACTCACTGTTAAAATTTAGTTATCGTTCTTTACAACATATTCAATGTCCAATTCTAGTTCACTCTTATATTAGAAAGATTGAAACGTAAAGCAGAGTTACGTATGTGTATTTTCAAAATTTCTCATAGTAACATCTTCTCATCGTTCATAACAAATACCTCGATCCGGCAATCATTGCAAGTTTCCTTTTTCTCATTGATGCCGATCTGAAGACGTTACTAGCCGTGAAGATTGGCGAAATTACGAATAGGTAGTTTACAGAGAATTGTGGAACCAAGTTTCAGATTAACATATTCACGGTACACACATCAATCATATTTTAGCTTTTTTTTTCTTTTCTTGATGCTAAAAATATCATTTATATATTGTCAATATCCTAAAACAGGTCATAGAGTGACTCGTTGCATGGTATAACATTAACTACTTAAGACTTGGACAATGATATGGTGTAAATGTATTACGATAAATCATTTATTAATAATTTGTAGACGTTGATGTTATCTATACTCTGTTACAGGAGACAGTTTGGATTATCACAATGGTATGAAATTCAGCACAAAGGACCAAGACAACGATAACGGGAGTGGTTTTAGTTGTGCTACAGACCGACACGGAGCCTGGTGGTACAACAGCTGTGACCACTCAAACCTTAACGGACAGTACGCCACATCAGCTGTGTCTGGTGACAAATACCCGGTATGGGATCACTGGAAAGGATGGGAAGCATTAAAGCAGACTGTGATGATGATAAGACACAAAAACTAGAGTTAATCTTTCATTAATCTTGAAATATTTATAACGAAATTATGATGAATATTGACTGTTCCTACGTTCTAGCTCGCTGGAGGGCGTAGTTTCATCATTCAGAGGGTATAACCGTGTTATGTAATTAATGTTTCTCGACGAATCAAATTAAAGTTATTTAGATGAAAGTAAGATATCGTTGGTTAGGTGCAGATACCAGATTGGCGTGGTCATAATGACAAGAGCGGGCATAGCTCATAGTTTATTTATGACCAAGGCCATCGGGTATCTGCACAATATCAACAATATTATATGGGGTACGTAACCTTTATCAGTTTAGTTAAATTGATCACAACTAAGTCTTTTGCATGTTGAATTATTTGTTTTATTGAAAATGTGCTAGTTTTCAATGAGGCGTGTTGATTTGCTTTGATTTTTTTCGTACATGTAAAATGTCAAAGTCAAATAATTCAAAATATTATTTGAACTTAACGATTTTTTTTATTAATCTGTTACCTATGCTCCTGTGGCATAGTGCATGGTGACACACAGGGCCTTGTTTTTTTGTTTTTGTTTTTTGTTTTGTTTTTTTTTTTTACAATTATTTAAAGCATTTAATAGTGAAGGAATTTGTACATTTAGAATAGATTAGATGCAATCTAAAATTCAATTATTTAAGAACTTTATTTTTTATTTAATGCATCAAGTTTTCTTAGTTGGTTATAAATAGACCGATATTGAAATCATTTAAGAGATACCAACGATAATACCAATACTAAGGTAATGTCTCATTGGTCTCAAAGAGCGATTTCTAAACTTATTTATCATTTTTTAACGAAAGTCAAAGTCTAAAATGCAAGTTCTCAACTGATATTTTTTTATTATGATTTTTTGGATCAATATGGATATATCTAGTCCGGATGGTTGTTCGAAAAAAAATTAAAACGGGGCTTGGCTTTTTTTTTTCTTTTTTTTTATGAAATGCTCTTTTGTCCAGACTCGATGGGCGGAAAAGAGTAGGTTATATACAGATAACCCATACTTCACAAAGAAATCACGCCTAACTATTATACAAATAGAAGACATTATTCATGTTTATCGTTTATAGGATGATATCTTGGATACCTCTAATTAATGTTTTAAAAAAATCTCAGATTTATAAAGAATATACATTCCTGTTTTGTTAAATGAAAATAGTTAAGATATGTAAAATGTGAAAGATTGTATTCAAAACTAAAAGTAGGGTTGGTTACTTCTCCGTGTATTAAAAAAAGTGGATAGGATTTTAAGAACAGACACAATCTGTGTATATTTAAACTTCCTTCAACTATTTCCTGGAATTTTAAAATACGATCCGAGAACTACTGTTACATGGATATGAAAAGTTGCAAGGCCTGAGAGGTATATCTTTGATTTTCAAACTAGTGCTATAACAAATTATACTTTGTAATGCGTCGACGATAAAACTGAATGGCAATTTCAACAAATGAAAGATCAATTACCTTATATTCATGCTAATTTCCCAGGCTAACATTGTGTCTGACATTAGTAGGCGGGGAATATGGAAATTAACATGGAATTTGTATTTTCAATTCATTTTTGTGTCGCCTGCAGAACAGAGCGACAATTGGATCGCTTTTGTTTAAATTATGGTTTAGATATTTGGCTCATGTATTGCTTGAAAGAATGGCTTTTCTAAAATACCAGGTGGCCTTTGAACTTTACCTTTGACGTTCTTTTCAAAATACATACATTCACAAAATATCATGACTTATATGTTGTTAGAGCATTTCACACCGAAATATATTAAAAACTTGCTTAGAAACTTCTTTTATCTGAAAATTGTTAAAACTACGAATTTTGGATCGCGTTTGATTGACACATATCTTTGCACTTTCACAAAGTAAACTTTATTCATAATACTTCAAAAAGTAAAAAATTGTTGTGTATTTATAAAATATATGAAAACTATCACCCAGAAAGTTAAGAGTAGAAATCCAAGAAAGCAAAACCTACTTATCAGTATTATCAGTCCTTGCCGAGTGATGTGTGCAGAAAAAAACAAATTGAACACACCCGGTAAAACATAAACACTAACAATAACAGAGCTCGTGCCCCGTTAACAAACACAGGTGTCTGACGTTATGTTAGGAAGAATGTCGTTGTCATTGAATTCCTAGAATATTTATGTAAGTTCAAACCATTAAACTGAAGTTTATTTTTTTTTTTTACAAAATGGACATTTAAAATTGTAAACAATGAAAATGTGTCCAGGCTCCTTTAACCAAAAAAAAAAAAAAAAAGGATGATTACCTTTTCATTAATGTAATTTCATTATTCATTTTAACTTGAATTTATATTGATTTTATCTTTTAGGTAATTCTTTTTTAATTGTTGTCTTGCTATCCGTGGATTTTGTTTTCTTTTCAGTATTTAAAATGCTAATCTAATATTAACAAAATATTTTTTTGTTTAATGGCGCTAAAGCAGGCGGCACATGGATACCTTGGAACACTCTAGTTCATCTATTTTTTGCATAATTATTTCACATATAAATGTAAATGTCAAAACAATCAATATTACTATGCCCTTTTTTCTAGACAAAAAATAAATGGCAAAATTTTTATTTTGCAAGGAAATTAATGAAATATTTGGTAAAAATCTGGAGCTTCTGGGCCCTCACCAGCAGGCACGTTCTGTAGGAGAGCCTGGAGGGTAGCCTGCCACCCCCCCCCCCCCACTTATTTCCAAACCTTACCTTTTACTATTGAACATGTTCATTGAAAGGGTGATTGTCACCTCCAACCCCCACAAACTTTTTGTTGTAGCATAGTTAAATCATAATAGTTTGGTAATGTATTAATAAAATTTTGATTTGTGAAAGTTCAAACCTAACCACCATCCCCACCCCCACCATTCCTTGTGTACACTAAGTCCATTCTCACTACGCGTATGAATATCACATTAATGTAGTACAAATAGGAGTTTGTAATCAGTCATTGTTACAAAACCACATTAATGTAGTACAAATGAGAGTTTGTAATCAGTCATTGTTACAATACCACATTAATGTAGTACATATAAGACTTTGTAATCAGTCATTGTTACAATACCACATTAATGTAATACAAATAAGAGTTTGTAATCAGTCACTGTTACAATACCACGTTAATGTAGTACAAATAAGAGTTTGTAATTAGTCATTGTTACAATACCACGTTAATGTAGTACAAATAAGAGTTTGTAATCCGTCATTGTTACAATACCACATTAATGTAGTACAAATAAGAGTTTGTAATCAGTCACTGTTACAATACCACATTAATGTAGTACAAATAAGAGTTTGTAATCAGTCATTGTTACAATACCACATTAATGTAGTACAAATAAGAGTTTGTAATCAGTCATTGTTACAATACCACATTAATGTAGTACAAATAAGAGTTTGTAATCAGTCATTGTTACAATACCACATTAATGTAGTACAAATAAGAGTTTGTAATCAGTCGATCCTACAATACCACATCAATGTAGTACAAAAATACTTTTTAAAGTGTCAGTTCCTAAAACAAAAGTGTTTATATTGTACTGTGTAATTTTTCTCCGATAAAATAATGTAACACAGACTGCAATGTGACAGTTATAAAACACAATGTAGTGCAATTTAGTCTCTGTAATGTGTAAAAGGTCTGTGTGCATTTGGATTAAAAGATCCGAAAATTTTTATTGATATTGGTATTTTTGCAGTAAATGTTAAACAAGAAGATAACGAACAGTGATTATCCTAATAAATACCGTAAACAAAACAAATCATGAACAACACGGACCCCTGGAAACCAAGAGGCGGGATCAGTAAAAAGTAAGCATAAACTTTCTAAGGTCCACTTGTAATAAATTTTAAATGAAGGAAAACCTGTCATTGAAGAACACAGGCAAATTCTACTAATACACAGTAGTGAAACACGTACTGACCGCAGTGTTTTACATCAGGTAAATTTTTTGAAAAGAATTTGACGTTTTAAAACAAATTAGAACGGTTCACTTTAAACAACTGCCATTTTGACGGAACAGAAAACAGACGCACAGAGTAACCATGTTCAAATATCTTTTACACTGTTACGGATCACTGTTTTGAATTGTGAATTTCAGCCTAAAATATCACATGAAATTTTTCCCTTGTCCACTAATGGTTATTTTTTTTCTTTCCTTATTCAAGCAAATTCTTACTCTTTAGGTCTGTGTTTCTGCTCCGACAAAGTGAAACATTGTACATAAAGCATTCTTATATTTCTGTACTAGCCCACGTTACGTATTGGGAGGTAAAAAATGGTATTTGTTTTTTAATTGCAAATTATAGTGTAAAGTTCTTAATTGTTGTGCTTTTTTTTATAATAAAATCATAAATGTTTTTGTTGTCTTTTCTTTGATTTTACCTTGTCACTGACATGTGAGGAAATGATTATTTATTTGTTAATGATCAGTACAAGCTAATTATATTTATATTCATATACATGTTATACCATTTCTGTCACATTAAATTAACGGGGAAAATCAGCTAAGTTATAGGAGGAGTCGACATCTATACATCTCTGTAAATCATGGGATTAGGTGGCACTTAGTTCAGGTTAAATCAGTGGATTAGTGCCACCTTGATTATGATACATCACAGGATTAGTGACATAAATATACTTATTCTTTAGGAATAGTGGACGTCTAAATCTACTAATACCTTAGGATTATAGTGGACACTTAAATCTAGTTATACCTCAGGACTAGTGGAAACCTTAATCTAGTTATACCTAAAGACTAGTGGATATCTAGTTATACCTTAGGATAAGTGGCATCTTAAATCTAGTTTCACCTTAGGACGAGTGGACGCCTAAATCTAGTTATACCTTAGGACTAATGGAAGCCTTAATCTAGTTATTCCATATGACTAGTGGATACTTATGTCTAGTTAAACCTTAGGACAAGTGGACACTTAAATTTACTTATACCTTAGGACTAGTAAACGCATAAAC